CCCGCGCAAGGTTAGCATGTTGATGCTTTAATGATTCGAATGTCGGTTGACATGTGTGAGTATGCGGGATACTCAGAAAAGAATCACCTATGTGAGAGAGAAGTGAGGGTCGCTTCAAAGGAGAATTGATGGGCACAATTCTTCACAAACTCTTGCAGAACCAGGACGGTGACCCACGACCAAAATGGGCACACTCATGAGAACAGAGCATGGTTGGGAGGTTCCTGTGTGAGATATGTCATCGTCTACACAAACGGCAGTCGGTTCAAAGACATCGCGTTCTACCGTACAGCCAGTAGAGTAAACATATCTTTACAAGGGAAGGTTCAAAGGGTATAGTGATCCCTACATATCCTATGCAAGGATCGACCGTTGAACACAGTTTGTTTCCGATTTCAAAATACCCCGAAAATCAATTTTTCATTCATGTGGGGGATTGTTGGAAAAATAGCATTAAAATGGCATAAAATGACATGTTAAGTGGCTATTTTGTGGTACAATTATCAGTGGGGTCCACTTCCGATTTGGATCGGGTCAAAGTGGATTCGGGTTCTTCGTAGTGAGACGAAGAGATTGATATATTGTACGCTCAAAACGGAAAATGGGTGAATGAGATATTGATTCTCAAAGTAGACCCATTGAGTTGGAAAAATGTAAGGGAAAAGTGAACTTTGTCCCACATTGATTTGGAAAGAGGATTTCACCCCCCTTTTATACAAGAACCCTTTTGAAGCTTGTAGAATTGTATAGCATAAAGGCTCTCTCGCGCGCGCGCGGGGGGGGGGGGGGGTGCAAATCAAATTCCAACTAGAAACGAGATCGAACAGGCTTGATTCAAGCCCGAGCTCGTGTGCGCCGGCACCTGGGGGCACGAATGTCGTCCGGAAACTGGCTGGCCTTGCGGGCTAAGTTATGCCAATTTCTGGCCACACCACGAGAGATCACCCGAGATCAAGTGATCTCTCGTGCGCTGTCATGAGGTCACACGAGAGTTTGAACTCTCGTGTTGTGAGCACACACGAGAGTTCAGTCTCGTGTGCACTGAAGCACGAACTTTCGTGCATCCCAAAAGTAACTGAGCTGAAACAGCGCGGACCATTCGTTGGTTCTGGACTGTTACAGGATTAATCTTATATTAATTCCACCTTTTGAGTTTTTGAGTTAAATCTCAATAATGGTGGCTGTTTCAGGTGTTACAAATCGTGGATTAAATGCTAAACTAAATGCTATTGATTCCTCACCTCCTATATAAGAAGGGGTGTAGCAGCAGTGTTTACACACAGACTGAAAACAACACACACAACACTGAAATTCTGTTTTCCCAGCTCCAAAATCTCTGCTCCTACTCCCTTCTTGTAGCTGCGTTCGTCCCATGCTCTTGTTCGCCGGGTTCGTTCGTTTGGGTGCTCAAACGTCGAACCGTTGTACGTTTTATCCTGAGAAACCTAGGCCACAACGCTCCTAGCACTTTTGGGAGGTGGCAAATAAGGTTTTAAGGAAAGACAAGCACTTTGCCTAACTCGTACGAATCTTTCTTCCTTCTCCTTCTTTCTTGTTTTGGATTATGCTCTAAGCAAAAATCCGTTCTTTCTTGTTGTTTTGGAACTATAATCTAAGGATTATATTTTCTTTTTGGTTGATATATATTGGTATATCTTTTTCGTAGATATACATGTATATATAACCGTTGGGTCCGTTTTATATATATATATTTGTGTGTATATATATATATTTCAGATATATATCCAATAATATTTTTTATATATTTCGTGTGTATATATATAAATATTATTTTACGGATATTAAATCGATTGTGGTTCATTATCACCAACAATTTCGACTCCTTAAATAACAAGATCCAGTTTCGTTTTCTCATTGCTTGCCCATCCCACGGATGGGCAAGCTTAATTTTTAAATTGAATGAAAAAGTGACAAAACTAAGGGGAGTCGCGCCAAACATTCGACTCTTCATATGTTTTTTTTTTTTAATTTTATTTTTTTATTAAATTATTTTTATTTTTATTTTTAAAACAATTATTATTATTATTATTATTATTATTATTATTATTATTATTATTATTATTATTATTATTATTATTATTATTATTATTATTATTATTATTATTATTATTATTAGGTCATTTTATATGTTAATCTAAATAGTTAATTCTTTAAAATATCTTTTTACCAACTGTTGATATAATTCGCTGGTCAAATTCGCTAACGCTAACCGCTAACTGCTGATTGTCAAACAAGAACATTGCGAGTTAGTTTCCCACTTCAATTTGTTGTGTGACTTGAATATTCTCTTTGTCAACAAATCCCTCAAGTAGTTAATATGATTGGCTTAATTATATTTTTTTTTTATTTTTTTTCATGGTATTAATAAAATACTTGGCAAATAAATATATAGCATTATTTTGTTTTATAACTTTGATATTTAATTAAAAAAATAGTGTACCAAAAAAAAAAGATAATGGACAATGTAGTGAATATAATCAATTGATGAATTTCAATGTAAAGAATTTTTACATTGGAGAAAAATAAAGACAATATAACTAATGAAATTATTTATCTTAATTAATTTAGTGATAATGAATAATTTTTTTTTTTAATAAAGTTATTGTAGGGACAATGTAGCGAATATAATCAATTGATGAATATGAATGTAAAGAATTTTTACATTGGATAAAAATAAAGACAATATAACTAATGAAATTATTTCTCTTATTTAATTTATTGATAATGAATAAATTTTTTGAATAAAGGCATTATGTTGTAGACACATAATTCTAAATCAAAGAAATGCATATGTATTATTTTTTGTTGTAGCTACTAAATTATTTATAAGAGTAAAATAGAGTTCTAAATTCTAATTATGCCAACTTTAATTGGATTGAGATTCGAACCTAAGACCTTTCTTATTGAAATCAATGAGTAAGTTAACGGAGAATATAATTTTTAAGGGAATTTTGATTGTGATGGGGTTCGAATCTAAAACCTTTCTTATTGAAATGAATGAGTAAATTAATGATACCAAAGACCTTGTGGTCCATTGGTATCAAGTTATTCCTTTATGTGTGAGGTGATGGGTTTGTGACGGACATTTTTTCTACTGAGTCTAATTTCTTTTGGCTCTTATTAGTATATATATATATATATATATATATATATATATATATATATATATATATAGATTTTGGTTCCTGTGAGGTTATGTCTTCCCGTGCGGTCAGTGCGACATACACCATTAGGCATGTATAAATGCACCATACAGTGTTCAAAAATACACCAGAATGAAATGTCAAAAAATACACCACACAAAAAAAAATACACCACACATAATGGTGTATTTACGAACACTGTGTGGTGCATTTTTGCATACCTAATGGTGTATGCCGCACTGACCGCACGGGAAGACCTGACCTCACAGGAACCTGACCCTATATATATATATATAATATACTAGTTTTTTTACACACATTACGCGATTGAGATAATGTCCAATATTTTTTTTTTTAAATAAGTACTTTAAAGTATATCATTATATTGGAATTGTTCATGCATAGATAATTGAATGTTGAATTTACGTATTTAAATATGTAATTCTAAGTTTACAAATGCAAGATAATATAGTCAAGATTGATTATAATTGTCAATAAAATAATTGTATAGGTATACTTGAAACCAAATACGGGACATAAGGGAGAGCAAATAAAAATTAGGGCATAAAATATTAAATATATACTAATATTGAAGAACTAAGTGCTGATTGCCAAACAAGGACATTGCGGGGTAGTTTCCCACTTCAATTTGTTGTGTGATTTGAATACTCTTTTTGTGAATAAATTCCCCAAGTAGTTAATATGATTGGCTTAGTTTTTTTTTTTAAACAATTATTATTATTATTATTATTATTATTATTATTATTATTATTATTATTATTATTATAGTCATTTTACATGTTAATCTAAACAGCTATTTTTTTTTTTCAAATATCTTTTTATCAACCGTTGATATAATTCGCTGGTCAAATCCGGTAATATAATTCGCTAACTGCTGATTGTCAAACAAGGACATTGTGAGGTAGTTCTCACTTCAATTTGTTGTCTGATTTGAATACTCGTTTTGTGAACAAATCACTCAAGTAGTTAATATGATTGGTTTTATTAGTTATATATATTTTTTAATTTTTTCATGATATTAATAAAATACTTGATAAATAAATATATAGCATTATTCTGTATTATAACTTTGATATTTAATTTAAAAATAGTGCACAAAAAAAAATACAATGTAGTGAATATAATCAATTGATGAATTTGAATGTAAATAATTTTTACATTAGAGAAATATAAAGACAATATAACTAATAAAATTATTTGTCTTAATTAATTTATTGATAATGAATAAATATTTTTAATAAAGACATTATAGGGACAATGTAGCGAATATAATCAATTGAAGAATTTGAATGTAAAAAATTTTTATATTTGAGAAAAATAAAGACAATATAACTAACGAAATTATTTCTCTTATTTAATTTATTGATAATGGATAATTTTTTTTTTTTGAATAAAGACATTGTAGACACATAATTCTAAATTAATGCATATGTATTATTTTTTGTTATAGTTACTAAATTATTATTTAATTTAATAAGAGTAAAATAGAGTAATAATTATGCCAACTTTAATTGGGATGTGATTCAAACCTAAGACCTTTCTTATTGAAAATCAATAAGTTAACGGTGAACTAACAAAATTAACGGAAAAATTAATATTTAACGGAAAAGTTAATGAATAATCATATTCATTAAGGATAAATTATGAAATCTCAAAAAAAAAAATTAAAATCTAATCAATCTGAACCATTCATTTGATTAAAAAATTTGACCGTCATTTTTTCTACATATTATAGGCCTAACTCTCTTGGACTCTTATTAGTATAGTAGATATATATATAGTAGATAGATATATATAGTATAGTAGATATTAAATATAAAATTTCATCATATTGTAAAAAACTCAATATACAAAATTTATTCAATATACCATTATCATACTATTTAATAAGGTATTTTGGATTTTTACATGCGTAACAAAAACTAGCGCATGAGGAAAGTGGAGCCGAAAGCCATGACGGTTTTAGTAGCTGTGGAAGCACAATAAGTACCATGAGAGCGATAGTCGATAGAGAACCATGAAGCTGAAAAACAAACTACGTTGCTGGGAATGCGATTGCAGAAACTGTGATCGTGTCACCTGCTGCCTACCTACCCTCTCCAATGATCTCATGAAGCATAGGCCCAGATGCATCTAGCGGTGAAGAATGTAAATCTGTTGTTGCCACACTTGTAGTAACCGCTGATGAATTATCGCCTGCCGTTTGGGAACCATGAATATCAGTCATGAAGCTGGTTCTATCATCGAACTTCCAGTCAGTGAGGTAGCTGGGCCTTGAAGTTACGGTTGGTACTTCAGTGTCTCCTGAAAGCATTGCCACCACACGGGACATTGATGGCCGCAATCCAGGGGATGCTTGGGTGCACAAAAGCGATACCCCTATCACCCGTTTCACTTCATCCTCATTGAAATCTGGTAGGTTTTCATCCACCACATCAACGTCGCGATTATTCTCATGGAGATGCCAAGCCTAAATATCAATAGCGACAGTCAGGATCAAGACAACTGTTTAGTTAAGAACTGAATCCAACTACCTCTGTCATCATTCAAAAATTGTCCTAATTTCTATTTCAATGGTTTTCCCAGGTATATTTCAGACAATACTAAGCTTTTTCAGATTGATATTATATTCATACCCATTCAAGAAGATATATCTTATCTTGTTCCAAGCTCGAGTCAGAATTTGGCCGACCACTAACAATCTCCAAGGCAACGACTCCGAAGCTAAATACATCAGCCTTCTCAGTAAGGTGGCCACGCATGGCATATTCCGGGGCAAGGTACCCACTGCATCAACAATTAGTTTGATACATTAGGGTAAAATCTTGGACATAGAGTCAAACTGCATGAATAGAATATAGGGTTTAAGGATATGATCTTACATTGTGCCTGCAACACGGGTGCTGATATGGGTCTTTTTATCATCATAGAGCTTCGCCAACCCAAAATCTGAGATTTTAGGATTGAGGTCTGAGTCGAGCAGAATATTACTAGCCTTGATATCTCTGTGCACGATTCTTAGTCGAGATTCCTCGTGCAAATAAGCTAGACCTCTTGCTACTCCCAAGCATATTTCAAAACGTCTTGGCCAATCAAGGCATAAGTTACTACCTCCTAGAAAGTTTAAAAAATAAAATTAAATCAGTATCCTTATATTAGAGATAAGTTATAGGAACAAAAAGGGTATACAACTATAAGATAATACCAAATAGTGCTTGATCAAGACTCTTGTTTTCATGATACTCATACACAAGCAACCGTCTGTCTCCCTCATAGCAGCAGCCATACAACTTCACAAGGTTGCGGTGCTGGACAGCAGAAATAGTTGCAATCTCTGCCACAAACTGGCTCTTCCCTTGGTGGGAGGCCACAGAGAGTTGCTTAACAGCAACATTTCTCCCATCATCAAGTGTTCCCTGTTTATCACCAAGTTTAGGCTAAAGAATAGATCCTAAGCTAAAAAAATTTGCTGCTCAAATGTTCATCAAGAAAATGAAGGGCCTGTGTTTCAATGTAAATCATTAGATATCTATTTTTACACATAACTGCACCAATTTTGATGGCTTATAACCAGAAGGCAGAGCTGACACAAATGAAAGGATAAATTTTATGGAGGAAAAGTATAATGAAAAAATGCAGTGAATTAAAGATGCAATTCAAACAACTCTAAAGGAATAGCCGACGTATATAACTTTACCCTCTACTCTTTGTGTAAAAAATTGAGGAAGGATTACTTTAGCACTTCATTGCAAGAAGAATTACCTTGTATACTGGACCAAATCCTCCCTCTCCAAGCTTATTAGAAGGACTAAAGTCACTTGTTCCGGCTTTTAAATCTGCATAACTAAAAGTATATGGCTTGGCATCCATTCCCAAGAACTCTGCAAATTCAATAGGAAAAGATGCTATTAAATTTCAAAGTTCAAATAAATCATATTTTACCCACCAAATGGCTTACATAACATAATGACTTCTTTCTACCTCCCCCCAAAAGAGAATAGAAACAACTAGAAGAAAGGTTCTGTTCTTATACAAATTTGTAACAAAGGTAGCAATACATGAATCTAAAAGATGTTCATCGATAAACATTATATTCATTCTTGAACGAGATGACATTGTAAAGAAAAATGGTAGCAATCTTTCCAACAGAACTGATCCTAAACTGCTTTGATCTATAGCAAGAGTTGATAAACCAATTTTTAAAAATTTCTTGTTGCTTTATCCAGGCCAAGCTATGCTCATACATTCACAAAATAATTTCTTATGCAAAAAAGAACTTATGGGGCTTCTGGAAAAAAAAAAAAAAAAAAAAAAAAAAACCATGAAGCAAATAAAATAGAACAGGACTTTTAATAAAATTTTTACTTACCTTCATCGTCATATGTGTCCTGCCTTTTTCTTCTCTGAACAAAACAGTACACAGCAAATACAGAAAGAAAGCTCACAACTCCCACTCCAACAACAATTCCTACAATCATGCCAGTTCTATTCTTCTTTTTTTCAGAGGGAGGTTGGTTACTAACAGTGGGAACAAAATCTGCAGAAAAGATTAGTTTTCAAAATACAATTTTTAAAAAACTTTGATGATACATTTACTTGAAATGATAATCGGTGAGGATCATATGTACCTGGGGTTGCACTAATCGCTGAAATCAAAGGCCCATAAGTACCTTGACTAGGTACACAGCAAGTTCCTTTCCCGGCCCAAAATAGATGGATGTCCATATGATTTTCAGATACTTGAACCTTATATTGCCTCGAAAGGCCTCTGAGTGATCCCCCAGCTAAATTTTTAATGTCAAAATCTTTCTCCTTTAGGTTTCCCTGAAGAGACCAAAACCTCAGCTAAATCTCATGTAAAAGTGAAGATAGCACAAGTTATTGGTGTGAGAAAATTTTCAAATTTCTCTATAACATAAACATAGAATATATAAAGCAATCTACTGTTTGTTGGTCCTTGTGGAAAAGGAATCAATAGATAGCCTAAAAGATGAGTTGGATTCAAGGAATGCATCATAATTATATACTCGGGAGCAATTACTTAGCCAATTTTGTACCCAATCTCATCAAGAGTAAAAACAGTTAACTATAATTTATAACAGTATAACTTAACTTAGCCTTAATTAACATCTAGTTGGAATATACATGTATGTATCTATGCAGGTATGCATGGATACATGCATGCATGTTGCATTCTATTAAGCTCAAAATTTGTAGTGAGCCCTTGAGTTTTAGCATATCCTTCACATGTGTAAATCATCTTGATCAATTCCATCAATTTCATCTTGAGCAGATGCCATTTAAATCATACTTTGAATAATTAAGTTCTCTTACAAAATTTCTAATATATTCACTTGCAAATAAATTATTGACTCTACAGTCACCCAAATCCTAGAACACATACCTGTATATATATATTAAACATGCGCCTCCCAAGAGTCTTCCAAGAAGGAGGATTAGAATTCAGGATCACTGACTCTGCAAACTGGAGGGTCACAGTGTAATTACCGTTTTCCAAGCCTAAGCCATAGTACCTTAGAGATCCAGCTGAAAGTCTTGCTGTCTGGAAGAGTTCAGAGTCCAAAGTATTTGTAAACTGTGATGAACTGGAGGTTGTGTATTTTGGACTATTGCTATCAGAGGAGAGTCCAACATTGCTAACAGCCCATCTGCCTGTGCTTGTCATGTAATGTGTTGCCGGACCAAGAGTCTCATTATCCCTCTCATACACTATCTGGTTAGATGACGTTATTTCTTGACCACCACACTTAATAGCAAAGCTAGAGTCTGTGGGTGATGAGCAAATATGAAAGCGTTAAAAGACCCCTATCTCAAAATGCATAGAAATAGAATAGCAGTCATGTAATTATTTATAACATCTCAGAATTTAATCATGCAGAGGATACATGCTTCACAACGAACATTAAGTATCAAAACTCAACACAAAAATCTTTTGCTGTTTTAATTATTTGGCCTCCTTTTCACAGTATGCAGTGTCCAAAATTATACAAAAAGTTAGAGAACAGAAGTTGGAAACAAGTAGAAATTTCATCTTTAAAGAATTACAAATTCGACATATTTGTTTTGAGCATAAAGTATCAATCAATGAAACACATTTTGGTTTAACTTACAAATGGGATCTCCCCGATGACATGGGAAATTCTTCTGAAGACAATTCAATCCTGAAGGCAGAGCACTGAAAGGAGAATGGATGCATTGAATCAGATTAACACCAAATCTAAGAGAAATTAAAACTATCTCAAATAATTTTTTTGACTGTATTTGCATCACTCTGGCAGAACAAACTGTCAAACATTTTCTGAGAAAACTGTAGCCTGATGTAGCCATGGCAACAGTTTCGATCAAACCATTTACTATTCGCAGCAGAATCTTAGCCAAGAACCTAAAGTCCTAATTAAGATTCCTCTATTTTAGGCATAGAAACTCAGAACGCCCTTTATAATTTTTAAAATTTATATATTCAAACGAATTCTGAACTGGAACTAGAACAGTGACTGGTACTGTACGGTTCAGGCTCTAGTTCCAGCACCACCAATCCTAACCCACAACCAAGACATGGAGATGAGTAGCCTGATGTAGATTTTAAACTGACTAAAATATATCTCCACCATTTTAATTATTAGCAACATATTTATTATCTAAGAACAGATATATGACCTTTGGAAAATTCAAAGAACAACAAAAAGTTGAAGATGGTGATTCCAAAACATGATATATATGGTCAAGTGTAACTCTCACCTGCCGTTAGAGCTGTCTATGGTAAAGTTATTGCTGATGAGATTCCTGCAAATTATAAAATAGCAAGTGGCAACATTAGAATTCAAGAAGAGACCTCTATTATATTAGAAAGTGAATCTTGAAACAAAAACACACAGATTAGGAAGGAATGTCACACAGTGACACAGTGTGATGCTTGTTGTCTATTCATACTTACAGTTGTAAACCTCGTCCGCCAGTCCAAGAAGGGAAGTTCCCAGATATTTCATTGTACGATAAATCGCTGCAGGTAAAATCTTGAGGATGTTAAACATGCTAAGTGTTAAGGATAACCAACGGCCAATAACAGATATATATATATATATATATATATATATATATATATATATATATATATGCAGGAAACAACACAGATATAATATGTAGAGTAACTGAACAATTAATTGTTATATAGATCTAAGTCTAGGGGGTTAGTTAATGCCATAAGCTAAGTGGGGATGAATATTTACAGCAATAAAGTTCAGCTTTCTAATTAAAAGGATAAAACTCACATATTCTGTAGATTTGGGCTCTTCCGTGCAGGCAAAGAACCTGTCAACTTGTTACTACCAAGAAACCTGAAGATTGGAATGACCATATGTAAGTGTGCGCTATTGAAATGGGACCAAAGTAAAAGAAACTCCGGGATGATTTATTACAAATTTTGGAGTGAACTAAGGTTGAAAAGTTGATCTGGAACACGTCCTGTCAAATTGTTGAAGCTCAAATCCCTATAACAAAAAAACAGACAAATGGTTAAGCAGTGCTTTCTTATGGAGTGATAAATAAAATTGAATTACTAAAATTTGCAATTATATTAAATATTGACCCTCAATCCCCCATCTTTTTGGCTTTAGCCTGGGATTACAAAGTAAATATCTCATTTCAAACAAAAGAAGTAGACATTCAAAGATTTCAATTAAAAACATCCTTCAACCAGAGGACTTACAGCAGTGACAAGCTCTGATATTCTCCAATATTAGAGGGGATGGAACCAGAAATATTGTTATTCCGCAAAACTCTAAGGACCAAGCAATCAGTTCATTATAATTGGTCAGATTCCAGGGGGAAAAACAGGCAAAAAACAGGAGTATAATAAAAATTTGCAGATTGGAGCTGATTATATCTCCTTACAGTTTGCTTAAATTCTTCATATTTCTAATGAAGTCCAGTGAAGAGCTCCCATTCAAAAGATCACTTATCCTCCTGCAAGTATCCAGTGCAGTAGACAATAGAATATTCTTAACAAGAAAAACAAACTTTGTAACACACATAAAAAAAGTAAGGGTTTGGATAAAACTCACAAGTCAACCATTGAGGTCAAATTTGAAAGTGTAGATGGAATTGGGCCCTGAAATGAATTTCCTTCAAACCTCCTGCAGAAATACAATTGATGCCAATCATAAACAATGGAAAATAGAGAACCAGCAATGGGCATGGATTAAGAATGATTTTCCATTGAATCTAGATATCAAGTGCAATGGACTGTCTGAAATGGATAATAATCTTATTAACAGTCTTACAAGGTAGTAAGCTTTGACCAGTTCCCAATGAAATCAGGTATCCTCCCTGTAAGCTCAGTGTTTGAAGCCCACCTGAAAGAAACAAAATTCACTCCATTGAACGCGATTACAGAATTGACCTGATTTTTACTTTAAAAAAATAAAAAACCAAGGGAACTTACACTGTGTCTAGGTTCAGAAGATTTGCAAATGTTGGAGGTATAGCACCACTAACACCAGAGCTATCTATATAGCTGGAAATTGAATAAAAAATCTATCAATATAAAGAGAAAGCTGTAGCTCGCATCTGGAAGTCTTATTGTTAAAAGCATTGAATCAATCTTACATTTGTGTAAGGCTTTTCCAATTTCCAAGCCCCGAAGGCAAAGGTCCAGAGAAGTTATTTGTGCCAATTGAACTGCCAACACATGCAAATTTCAATTTTGTGCAAACAAATGTCCAATTATATCCTGATCATATACATCAATAATGAATAATAATATCCACGAATGACATTAATAATGTCTTACAAGGATCTCATGTCAGTCAGCAATCCAAGTTCCTCCGGAAGCTTCCCCGACAATGCATTAATGCCTAAGCTTCTGTGACAATGAAAAAAGAATCATATATGCATTAACACATGTACTGTTGATGTACTCAACATGAAACAGAGATAACTATATCAAGTTAAATACCGAAGATATAGTTGACTTACAGGTATTGCATACCACTCATATTTGCAATGGAAGCGGATAGTGTGCCTGTCAGGTAATTTTGGCCCAGATTTCTACAAACAAAATGAGGAGGTGTCTGGACTTAGAAGAGAATTATATATTACTCCGTACATACATACACACAGGCAGGTTATAATTGTAAATAATCCATTACCAAATCCCAAGTTACTTAAGTGTAGAACACGGATTGTTCAATCAATAATCTTAATAATATAATCAAATGAGCTTGTCGAAACTGCCACATAAAATGATTACGATCCAAATTATACACTATATAGAAAGAAACCATACAGATCATTGATGGAATTTAGCTTCCAAAGGTCATCCGGAATCGCACCGACAACATCTAAAGCGTAAACTTTCCTGCGAAGAAAAAACATGCATCATGATGCATTGATCTCCATAAATACGAAAAAAAAAAAAGAATTATAAACAATTGATGAATTCCAGAGAAGAAAGTGGAGAAGATGGTAGATTACAGGGCAGTGATGTGGCAGGGGGTGGAAGAGCAATCGCATTTGATTGCCGGATTGAAAGACTGCTCTTGCATGCCGGTAGAATCGACGGCGGCGCCAGAGCACAATTCTCCACTCAAGTTCCACATATTGTTCGCCCGAATCCCCCATTGTTGGAATATAGAGTTCAGAATCCTAGCTGCAGCACAGCGTCCATTAATGAATTAAAGTGAAGTGCTCCGCAGTAATTTAGGCCAAAAACAGAATGCCAAATTCTTTTCAACAAGTTGAATCCCCAATAGGTAAAGTAAATAGATAGGTTGGTCGGTAGCTTGATATAGTATAGTATATAAACAAGTGAAGTTGAAGTTTGTAGTAAATAAATAAAAGTTTTTTGAAAGTAGTAAATAAATAAAAGTTAATTCTACCATAGGTTGACAATTCCTAATTTAGTTTTATACTATTATTTTTGGTAATTAACATCCCAAATTATTATTTTGTAGTCATTTTTAGTTCTTTTTATGACTTTTTTATTTTTAGTAAGGACATTTTTGTTTCTTTATAGTTTTCATTTGTTATTTTTTTGGTTTAAACTGATTAAATCGAAAAAAATAACAAAATAAAAATATGAAATGATAAAATTGTCTTTATGAAAAACAGGAAAAGTCATGAAAATGACTAAAAGTGTCCAAAAAATAATAGGTTGGGATGTTAAATGACAAAAATAATAGTCTGAGGTTAAATTTAAAACTTTTACAAAAGACAATGAACTTATGGTGGAATTAACTCTAAATAATAATAATAATAATAATAATAATAATAATAATAATAATAATAATAATAATATAGATAAAGTTATATATAATTTTTACATTTAAAAAATATTAAAAACAATAAAAAAGTTTTTTTTTTAAACAATCTTTGTTAAATTGAAAAAATAGGAAAGCTGTTTTTTAAAAGAAAAAAAGTAATACGTTTTATATTTTTTATTTTTATTTAAAAAAAATATTATCTAATTACTAAACTACCCTTAAAGTCTTACAACATTACTTTTTCTTCTATAAATACCAAATCTTAAGTTCAAACTTCATTTTTTTAAAAAGATTCAAAAACGAGTTTGAAGTCCTTCCCAAAAAAAAATTGACAAAATTTTTCTTAAGACTCAGAAAATGATTCCTATCTGTGTGATTAAGGAAAATACTTGATAGACTTTTATTTTATACTCTCAACTTGTACTTTCTTTCACATGTTCTTGATGTAGACACTTTTTTGTGGACCCATATGATAAAAATAATTCATTCTTATTTGTTATTTCAGAGAATAGAAATAAGAGAGTAAAATTTGAAAGTGCATGTAACAGAACTCTTGTGATTAATATGTCAGTAAAATCGTAATCTAAAAAATAAACTATAAGGAAGCAAACAAAAAATTTTATTTTTTAAGACAAAAGGCGGCTAAAGACACAATATCATAACGAAAAATGACAACTGTAATTATATTATATAAAAACAGACAATTACAGACTAATAACAAATTAAAATAATGTACTCCCTATTATTATTATTATTATTATTATTTTTGGGGGAAAGAAAGAAGAAGTCTTTCCTCCAAGAACAAATAAGATTGTGGGCAAACCAAAAGGCGGCCACAATCACTTTCAGTGGACAATCACAACACGCACATGCGCCGTTGCGCTCAGACACACAGACCAGGAGAAGAAAATTGACGATAACCTCAATCAATATGATTTGACTGTTAACTTAGTAGTAGTTGATCAACTATGAATTCTTTTGTGATCCTTTGTCGATTAAATTACGAGACAGAATTTATTCAATGTAGACTTTCGAATAGTAACGTCAAGTTATTAATAGTTTTTTTTTTTTTTACTAGGATCACGAGACAGAATATATTCATTTGTTACTAAAAAAAAAGAAGGGAAATTTCAGAGAAGATGAGATATGTTGCGCACCTTCAGCGGGATCAACAGTGGCGTTGTTGTTGGCGGCGGGCGGCTGCGCTCGGGCCGCCGGAAGAATCTGCGGGGCGGCGATGGCAATTGCTATAATCACGACGGCGTAGAAGCTTGCGCCGTACTTCATCAGACCAACTCCACTTGGCACCGGCTTCCCCTTCATCTGCAAAACAACTCTGTGAAAGAGAGAGAGAATGTATTTGTCTGAGAGAGAGGGAGAGAAGTGCTTTTTGTAGGTGTAAACGATTAAGTGGCAAAGGGGGCCGACATAGACAACCGGAGAGCTGACAACTTGGAACAGATAATTGGATTTGTTAATGCCCCATATAAATATAATATATATAGGCCAAATGGAGATTTTAATATAATGATATAATCAGTCAACGAGTCATAAAAGTCCTCCCCTGCCAACAATTTTATATGAAATTTTGAGTGATTTTAGATAGGAAGACCCAAAATATAGAAAAAAAAAGTCGAATACTTTTATTCATTTAACAGTAAACGAAAACTTTTCATATACTTATATTCTATTCTATTTATAAACAAATAAACCAGTTAAGGAATCTATATTATATTCTGTTTATATGTATTTATAATAAAAAGATGTTTGTCTAAACAAAATATATTGTAAATGATGTATTTATCTATTTGTGATAAATTTGATTATTTTGTAGTAAAAGTGTAAAACTATGTGATAATGTCACAATAGTTAATGACAAAAAGTGAAACTTTTTTTAATTAATACTTTGTACTTAACTAACAAAATAATTAACAATGTACAGGTAATTTGATTTTTTTTTTTAAATAAAATAAAAGTGTTGACACTTAAATTTTGATAAATATTGATTATTTATCAATATTAGTATATTTGAATATATTTATGGATAATATTGATATTATCTAATTTGTTAATTAGATAATATCAAAAGAGTTTGAGTTTATCAAAAAACTTCTATGCCCACACCCCGTCCCGACAGAGCATTTGGGAGGATGTAAATTATGATGACTCAACCGAACATGAACCATAGAGGCTAGACCGGTGCTCACTGCGCACAAGGAGCCCCCCTAACTTTGAGAGGTTGCTCCCACACTGCCGCTGGTGAGACTCAATCCCTGGTCATTATTCCAAAGTTTCACCTCTTTGACCAGTTTATTCCAAACTCTTCTATCCTACAACTATAAATAGGAGGTTTTCTGGAAATATATATTATTCAGTTGATCCAAACCTCCATTTAAGATCAAGTCATTTGAACCGGGAAGCCCTTCAAGAAGAACAAGCTAATATATATATATATATATATATATATATATATATATATATATATATATATATATATATATATATATATATATATATATATATATATAAGTTTTTTTTTTTAAAAAGATTAAGCCACTTGAAATCCGGAGGCCCTTCAAGGCATCCAATTGAAAAATCAGAGGATCATTCAGGGACTTGTACCCACACCGCATTGATACTTGACATGTAACCAGAATTTTGAATATCAAATATACATTATTCAATTTTCTTTGTTTACAAAAAGTGCATTATTTTTTCACATAATTAAGCACAAAAAATACAAACATAATTGAGTGATATAACATACCTCTCATTAGTTAGTTAGATTAGATCGTGAGATAATTTAATTCATGGGTAACCAGCAACAAATAATAAATTTTGTTTTTTATGACTTCATAAATACTCCGTAATATCAAGTGAAAATTAAGTAATAATCTTCGTAATAAAAATATCATTTTAAATGTAAAAATAAATTAAAGTCATTATGTGTGATTCCTTTCATTAACGTCTAATCACTAATGACGTTTGGTAGTAGGCGAATTGGTAAACGGACTAATAAATTTTTATTTTTTTTTTGACCAATCGAATTTTTGAACACAATTTATTATGATATATATTTAATTTATCTACATCTATATTTACAAATCTATACCTCTACAAACTTAATAATAAAAGTCAATAAGAAGTTTATAAAGTTAAACTCCTAACAGGAACTAACAAATATTGATGTAATAGTTTGTTGAAATGAATGGTTGATACATGAAATCATTACATGAAAAATTAATAATAAAATAAAGTGACATCGTCAAACGTTGACTCAGATGTTTCAAATTTAAGGCCCTCATCTTGTTGGCGTGTCATATACATTTCTAATTGGGAGCTGATTTATTAATCATTTTATTTCCTGATTACATCCTATATTTTATTGAAATAACGAGGCATACTACTTTATATTTACAGGATTTGCGATTATAAATTTATAATCCCTATTTTCTTGAAATTAAAAATAAAAAAAAAACAATAAATTTACCACAAGTTGATATGAGATTTAGTACATTTTTTGTATTATAATAGTATTTCTGGGTGTTGAAAAAGAACTTAGTGGATGTGTTGTTGACTCTTTGTGTTTCATTATTTTGAAAAAATATGTTTGAACCGATACTACAATGTAATAGAATCAATAACATTCAAAAAAATTTATGTGCCTACTTAATTATTTTTATAATATTAATAAATTCTAATTTGTTTGCTATATTAATTGCATGATTTGAAAAAAAAAAAAAAAAAAAAAAAAAAGCCGCACCGGATGTTTTGATGTTAATATTGAATTATATAAGTTTCTTTTCTATATATATCAACTGTACATAGGCTCGTTTACTAAGAGCGCATAAAAAAACTAGTTAATTTATATTTGTTTAATAATATTTATAAACAAGCTTATCTTGTTTAGTGTTGATTTAATAATATTCATGAATAAGCAATTAAACCCATATATATATATATATATATATATATATATATATAGAGAGAGAGAGAGAGAGAGAGAGAGGGGTTCAGGTTCAGGTGCATTTAAGTGTTTCTCATGCGATTGTGCGGGTGATTAATGTGTGCGAGTTTTGTACTTAATGTGCGTAAGTCTTGTGCTTAATGTGCATGAGATTTGTGCTTAAAGTGCGTGAATGTGTAATGTTTAATGTGCGTGAGTTTTGTACTTAATGTGCGTGAGTCTTGTACTTAATGTGCGTGAGTCTTGTGCGTAATGTGTGTGAGTTTTGTTCTTAATGTGCGAGAGTGTGTACTTAATGTGAATTGTTGTGTGAGTTGTTGTTGAAACTTTAAAGTGCATGAGTTTTATGCTTAATGTGCGTGAGTTTTTTGTGTTTAATGTGCGTGAGTCGTGTGTTTAAGGTGCGTGAGTTTTATACTTAATGTGTGTGAGTGTGTACTTAATGTGAGTTGTTTTTAAAATTTAAGGTGCGTGTGTTTTTGTGCTTAACATGCGTGAGGCTTGTGCTTAACATGCGTGAGGTTGTGTTCTGAAGGTGTTTTGTTTGTGTGCTTAATATGCGTGTGTTGTGTACTTTAAGTGCGTCAGATTAATGCTTAACGTGCGTCCACCCGCATAACCGCACGGGAAGCCTCAAATGCACCTGATCCCTTCCATATATATATTATTTATTATTTACGAACGGATTGTGATCATGAACATGTGCATGTGTTTGGTTATTACGATTGAGTTCATGAACGTGTTAAGGAACATATTTGCAAATATAAACAAACATATTCGTGAACGTGTTCGTTAATATTAACGAACATGAACGTGTTCGTGTACATTAACAAACACTAATGAATGCTTAACAAACGAATACAAAAAAGATTTTTAAAAATCTTAATGAACGATTACGAACACGAACTTTAAAAAAAAATTTAACAAATAAAAAAGGAGTAATCTCCGTTCGTTCATGTTTGTTAATAGGGATAGATTGGGAAGAAGATGTTTTTTTAAAAATAATAATAATAATAATAATTTTTTTTTTTTTTTGTTCAGAAGGAGGGGGATACTCAAAAAAATTAGAGATTTCTACTGTCACGCTCCCTTGCTCAATAGGTTCTGCGCATGACCCTAGCACCGATTTGATCTTTATCAATGTAATCCCATAAGGCCGGAGGCAGTTCCATAAGAATGTGGAGCCCGATCTGGTGTTGTAGCGCGTCCGTCGCCATCTTATAGGCCAACTTATTTTGCTCCCTGTATGTGTGCATGTAGACCACCTCATCAAAGCCCTGAGCTTCGCTTAAGTAGTGATGGATAATACTATGTGGTCTAATGGTACCCGAGTTGGACTTTCATTTGGAAGGTTGTGAGTTCGAGTCTTAGTGGAGGCGTTATTGGTTCTTTGTGTTTCAGTAGGTTGAGAAAGTATATGAATGGATACTACATTGAAATAGAGCCAGTAGCATTCAAAATAATAATAATTTAATTATATATGTCCTAAAAACACGATAAAATTCCACGTGCACCATACATTCAAATCTATCTCCAGTCCTCATCTGATCAGGTATTTTTGACTTTGTCTACGATCTAAATTCTCTTCCGATGACGTATCGCTGTTGGTACGGTTACGTTTTCATTCTCATTTTGATAATAATAAATTTGTTTAAGAAAGTTTTTTAAATTAGTTTTTACTATTATGTTTTTTTTGTACAAAAAAAAAGGGTAGTATTTTATCACCTTTTTAAAAAATTCTTTTTATCAACTAATTTAATATCATCAACATATCATCATTTCTTTTATTTTTGAAAAATTGTATTATAGTAAAAGATATTGTAAAAATTTTATTTTACAATAAAAAATAGTTATTTAAATTTAGAAAATTTTTCATGACGTACAATTGTGACGTTATTACACTTACAAGGCGTTTGGTTGGAGGGAATTTAAATTCCATTCCCACGTAATTCCAAAGGCCACTAAATTCCTTAGTTTGGTTGGAAAGAATTGCAATTCCCTCATTTTCATGAAATAAAAATCTCATGCCCCTTAGGATTTTAATTCCATGAATTTTAGGAAGAAAAAAAAGATAATGATGAGACAAAATTACCCCTCCCCCTTTTTAACCTAAAATTGATGCTTGACAATAATAATGGGAATTTTGGACTTTATACTACTTATTCCCTTTCAATTCCCATGTATACCAAACATTGGAATTGAAATTTTCAGTAATTTTATTCTTGTAAACCAAACATCGAAATTTAAATTCCCACTTTATTCTCAGTAATTCATCTCCGATGGAATTGCAATTCGGCCAATTCCTTTCCCAGATAATTCCCCCCTCCAACCAAACGCCACGTATTGGGGTGTTTAGTTGAATGTAATTTAGTTGTAATTGAGTTGTAATTCAATGAAGGCATCAACCACAGTGTTTGGTTGGAGGGAATTGCACTTCCATGGAATTGCAATTCAATGGTTGTGGGAAAGGAAAAAATAGAATAAATGACAAAAATATCATTGT